GAATGAAGACTCCCTTTGCATTTCCTGTGCCCACAGACCAAAGCTTCAAGGCTACCTTTGACCTGACCTTGAAGAACTTCGGCTGCTTCCACACAGGGGCACAAAACTGACCTCCGACCACAACAGCAGTAGCAAGCAGGATGGAAAGGAGCAGAAACAGCATCCAGAGACACACGTGCCCCCACCGTAGGAGGCCAGAGAGGCACACCCTCCTTGGGCACAACCTCATCTGCATGTGGCTCGAAACTCTGGAGGGGTCCCCACCAGTGTTCCCTCTAAGCTGAGCGAGTGTGAGCTAGCTCACAGTTTTTTAGCCTCCGGCTCACAGATTTTTGTCTCCGCTCAGGAAGGAGGGCTCCAGAGCAAACTGATTTATGCAGCAGCCAAATGGCTCGCTCACAACTTTAATGCCGGTAGCTCACAAGGTAGAATTTATGCTCACAAGACTCCACAGCTTCAAAGGAACATCGGTCCCCACCCTTTCTGAGCCTGCAGGCACATTTGGATTTTGGGGAGGGGGTACTGAGCACCATTTAGGGTTGCCAGCCTCCAGGTGGGGCCTGGAGATCTCCCGCTTTTACAACTGATTTCCAGGTGAGAGTGATCAGCTCCCCTGGGCAAAATGGCTGCTTTGAAGGGTCGACTCTATGGCATTGTACTATGCTGAGGCCCCTCCCCTCCCCAAACCCCGCCCTCTCCCAGCTCCACCCCCAAAGTCTCCAGGTACTTCCCAACCCTAACCTCGCAACCCTACCACCATTCCAAAATGGCTGCCGCAAGAAACCCCCAAATGGCGGCGACAGGAGGCGGAGTCAAATGGAACGCCTCCCCCCTCACACCTCCTGGGAAGAAGCAAACCCTGAAGGGGAAACGGAACCACACAGCGATGAAGGAAAGCCCTGGTGCTTACCCGCCCTCCCACAGAAAACCCTTTTATTGGAATGAGGGCAGCCAATCACAAGCCCTGCCTTACAGAGGCCCCGCCCATTTCTTGAAAACTCCACAGGCGCCAAGGAAAGTACTGGTGGGTGCTACGGTGCCCACGGGCCCCATGTTGGGGAACCTGAACTGGGGGCTTTCCTGCTTCCCGTGGGGGAGAAAATACCTATGTGGCTGTAGCCCTGGTTATATAGTGTCAGCCAGTCGAAAGAAGGGGCCAGAAGCCAGGGAGGAGAAGATGGCATTCGACCTGATTGCCGACAAACGGCCCCAGGGGCAGAAGGACGATGAAATCATTTGATCCGGACATTTAACAGAGGTTACCCAAAAAAAGAAAGGGAACCAGTGTACACAAAATGGTACACGGCACAAAAAACCCCGCTGGCTCAAGATAAACAAAAATGTATAAAAAGAATATTTAATGCCAAGCTCAGTAATACAGTCATAGTAAAGGTAAAAGTAAAGGTTTCCCTTGCTCGAAAGCCAGTCGAATCCAACTCTAGGGATGCGGTGCTCATCTCCGTTTCCAAGCCGAAGAGCCAGCGCTGTCCGAAGTCTTCTCCTTGGTCATGTGGCCGGCATGACTTGACGCCAAGGCGCACGGAACGCTGTTACCTTCCCACCGAAGCGGTGCCTATTTACCTACTTGCAGTTTCTTGCTTTCGAACTGCTAGGTTGGCAGGAGCTGGGGCCAGAGACGGGAGCTCACTCCGTCATGCGGCACTCAGGTCTCAAAGTGCTGATCTACTGACCTTCCGGTCTGCAACTCAGCATCTTAACCGCGTGAGCCACCACAGTCATATAACTATATAAAGCCAAGGTGTTCTTGCAAGAAACAACAGTCATGCAGAAAAACAGAAAAATAGAAAAATAAAGTCCTCAAAATTTCAGTGTGTCTCACTCCTGTCGTATAGTAATTCCACAGTCCAGCTTGGCATACAATCATCATACAGTGGAACTGTATGAGTCCACTCTATGATGATTGGCTTTATATAGTTCTCTCCAGGGGTCATTTCCTGCAGGAGCGCACAGGAGTGGAGCTCCGGCAGTAAAGAGCCCAGGGGGCGGGCACATACAACAAGCCCCGCCCCTGCTCCCAGCAGCCCTCAGTCAGAGCAAGAAGCAGCCAGATAAATTGCAGTGGGTGTTGCCTTCTGACACACTTCCGGTGATGTCAGGGGTTGTGGCATATGCAAATAAGTTATCCTAATGAGTTGTGCTAATGAGCTCCTGAACCTCTTTTTCTACTAAATGACCCCGTATATGACTGTATAACTGAACTTGGCATTAAATATTATTTTTATACATTTTTGTTTATCTTTAGCCAGCGTTTTTTTGTGTTGTGTACCGTTTAACAGCGGTTGTTCAGCTAGAAATTCACATGGAACGTGGTGAGGGTACTCTTCGCCCTGGCCACAGTTTCTGACGGTGGAACTTCGAAGAGGATTCATCCAGAATTGGACACCAGTGACAGATTGTCCCACGTGTATTTGAAGGTAATTGTTGGAGGGGTGCTCAGAGCCAGCGTTAGAGCCAGTTCCACACTGGGATGGTTACTGCCTCCTCAGACAATACTTGGATATTGGATCTTCTTCAAGTCCATCCTGGCTTACCAAATAACGGGTTGGACCTCTTCAGTTCCATTCTGCTAACAGTGGCATTTTAACTGGAGCCAGGTGACTTCCGCCTGCTCTTGAACCAGGGGAAAACTCCACCAGCAGCACAACGGAGCGGTGGGATCCGGCCCTTCTGTCCAATGAGCGTGGCGATGCGTTTCCATAGTAACAGAGTGATCCGTTAAGGCGACAAAGCGCAGTGCGCGACTTCTAATGAGATTTTTTTGATCCGGAAGGCGAGCGAGGGGTCTCCTACAACTGACGGAAGGCCCTCCCGTTGCCCGCTGCGTAGAAAGTTAAGTCCATCACTGATCTAATACTATACATTTCCGACACGAAAGCCAGCGGATGGCAAATAATGTTAGTCTTTCTTCTGTTTTTAGTCTCCTGCGGTGCTGTCCTCACAAGCGTTTTGGTCAATAGACTCCTGATTCTCACTTTCGGAGGTTTGCGCGATTGAGTTGTCAGTCCCGGCCGATTCCTTAGGTTCCTCTGGAGAAGGTGGTGTGGTTTCCTCCACCTGCTGCACAACGTCTCCACTGACTTCAGCATCGGCCGGGTTGAGGTTAGTTGACGTCTCTGTTGGAAGTTCAGCCTCCTGTTGTGGACTATCCTGGACTTTGGTAGCTCCCTCCTCTTCTTTTCTGCTAACCTCTGGTCCTTGAGCGTCTTCCTCCTTTCCCTTGATTGGCTTCTCCTCTATTTTGGTACTCTCTCCGTTGGCTGTGACGGCCTTGGTTGGGGATTTGAGGTTTTGGGCCGCTGCTAGAATATCCGCCTGCAGTTGTTTGGTGGAGTCCACAGGCTCTTCCTGGCAGGAATCGCCAACCTTCTCCGGGACTTCACTGAAAGCTTTGGCACCCCCCGACTTGTCGTTCTGGTCCACGTACTTCTTCTTCGGGAAAGATGACGGGTAGTAGGCCGAGGCCTTGTGCTTCTGATGGACGATGACGGCGGCACAGATGATGAAGAGGAAAATGAAGACCAAAGAGCCAACCACAATGATCAGCAGCATGTACTCCCGGAAGAAATCCACGATCCCGTCCAATAGGGTGAGAGTGGCCGACGTCTCGTTCACCGAGGTCACGAGGATATCGTCCATGGTGGGATTCACACCCAGGGTCACGCTCGCAGGGGGTGGGATGGAGGAAGCGCCCTCCCCTTCTCCACTCCCACCGTTGTCTTCCAGCGCAGCTGCGGGAAGGTGCCTCGATCGGGAAGAGCAGAAGGGAGCCGTCAGCACCACGAGGAGGAGGACGCTTCTTGCCGCAGCCATGACCAGGGGTTGGCCTCCAACGCTCTCTGCAAAGCAAACACACAAAGAGGACAGGATTCGTTATCTTCCCGTTTCATCACTCCTAAGAACAAACGCTAGCATTCTTTGGTGTGGAAACAATGGTTCTCCATACCCAGGTGTTTGGTGCAACTGGAGGGGTCCCGAGCTTCGGCTGGGCCCCCAACTCCCCCATCCACACGGCTCTCCTGCTCCACTAACCGCACTGCTGGCTGAACGGGCTGCCCAGCAGTGTTCCCTCTAAGCTGAGTTAATGTGAGCTAGCTCACCGTTTTTTTAGCCTCCGGCTCGCCCATGTTTGCCTTAGCTCAGGAAGGGATGGCTCCAGAGCAAGCTAATTTATGCAGCAGCCAAATCGCTCACTCACAACTTGTTATGTATTGGGACTGAGTCATCCCAAGTATGTCACACCAGAGACTGGCTGAGCTTGGAGCACAAGAACAATAGCCTGCCAGGACTCTGGAATAAACCAATCAAGTAGTAATGTTATGTAAATACACCTATCGCTGGGAGTGGGGTGTGTTTGGGTGTGGCAATTGCATGCTATTTAACAGAGCTGAAGCTCTGGGGTTCTTGTCTTGCTCTTGCTGGATTCACAAATAAAGCTGAGCTAATCACTGGACTTGAGCCTGATCATCCATGGAACCAGGGGTCATTTCATAGAAAAAGAGGTACAGGAGCTCATTAGCATAACTTATTTGCATATGCCACACCCCCTGACATCACCGGAAGTGTGTCAGAAGGCAACACCCACCACTCAGGCTCCACTGGACTGTTCTGGATTGTTAGCTATGGGGGGGTGGGGAACGCGCAGATCTGCCCTGGCAGAGGAGGGAGAGCTTGTAACTGAAGGCAGGCCAGGGGGAGGGGGTGGGCTCTGCAACTTACCTGGCTGCTTCTTGCTCCTCGTGGCCCAACTGAGGGCTGCTGGGAGCAGGGGGTGGGGCTTGTTGCATGTGCCCGCCCCCTGGACTCCTTACTGCCGCAGCTGCACTCCTGTGCGCTCCCGCAGGAAATGACCCCTGCATGGAACCCACTATTTAACACAACTTTAAGGCCAGGAGCTCACAAAGTAGAATGTTTGTGCACCGGACTCCACAGCTTGGAGGGAGCCTTGCAGGCCAGTGGTGTGCCCGGCAAGGTCAGGCCAGCGGCAGGCAGTCAAAGGGGGCAGCGGTGAGTGTGGGTGGTGGGAAGGCCTCATGAGCTGGGAAAGGAGGCACGGGCAAGCGGGGCAGGCAGGGAGGCGCGAGCCAGGGGCCCAGTCCTAGGCAGCGGGAGGCCCCTGGGCCTTCTGGCTGGGGCCCCCAAACCCGGGAAGCGACCCTGGTCCGAGGACTGGCTGTGATTAGTCGGGAAAGAAAGGCACACGCTCCAGGGCCCTCTTGTTTCCCAGGACTCTGCAGGGAGTAGCGATCCCCAGGCTGAGCCCACGCAACCCACCAGCTCAAACGGAGCCCTGGCTGCAAGCAGGGAGGAGCCAACAGCCGGAGCCAATAACCCCAGGGGGAGGTCATTCCCATGGCCATGGGGGCAACGCTGCCAAGCCTCCGCCCTGTTAGTGGAGGAGAAATGGGCCTGCGCAGCCACCTCCAAATGCCCCCGAGGCGATTTAAAAGTCAATCTCCACTTGCGATGGACATAAGAACTTCAGAGAAGTCAGTGTTGGATCAGGCCAGTGGCCCATCCAGTCCATCACTCTCTGTCACATACAGTGGCCAGAAATACCAGGGGCCATCAGGAGGTCCAGCAGTGGGGCCAGGACACTAGAAGCCCCTCCCCCCTGTTGCCCCCCCCCCAAGCACCAAGAAGACAGAGCATCACTTGCCCCAGACTGAGAGACCCTCTCTATAACTTGTGGCTCATAGCCACTGATAGACCTCTGCTCCATATGTTTATCCAATTCCCTCTTGAAGCCGTCCATGCTTGTAGCCACCACCACCTCCTGTGGCAGGGAATTCCATGTGTTAATCACTCTTTGGGTGAAGAAGGACTTCCTTTTATCCGTTCTTAGTACTCAGTATTAGCTCTTGCCGTGGCCAGGGCTATTTTTGGGCAGGAACGCACAGGAACGGAGTTCTGGCTGGCTCCCAAGTTGGCCACGCCCAGCAGGAACTCATTAGCATAATAGGCCACATCCAACAGCAGAAACTCATTAGGATTGGCTACATTAGGGGTGTGTGGCCTAACATGCAAAGGAGTTCCTGCTACAAAAAAGCCCTGGGTTTGGACAACAAACAAGGTAAACAGAATAAGAAGCAAAAGGTGGGTGTGGCTGGATGAGCACACTTCTGGTAATATGGGGGAGTGGTCTAATATGCCAATGAGCTGTGCTGTCAGGGGTGTGGCCTAATATGCTAATGAGTTCCTGCTCGGCTTTTTTTTACAAAAAATGCCCTGGCCGTGGCTAATACTGCGTGGCCAGTTTGGTGTAGTGGTTTAGAGTGTAGAGAGCCAGTTTGGTGTAGTGGTTAAGTGCGCGGACTCTAATCTGGGAGAACCGGGTTTGATTCCCCACTCCTCCACTTGTACCTGGCTGGATGACCTTGGGCAAGCCGTAGTTCTGATAAGAGCTGTTCTCGAAAAAGAGCAGTTTCAGCCCCTCCTAAGAAGGACTTCGTTTTATCCGTTCTAACCTGACCACTCAGCAGTTTCATGGAGTGTCCACGAGAGTTCTCGTATGGTGAGAAAGGGAGAAAAGGACTTCTTTCTCCACCTGCTCTATCCCATGTAGAATCTTGTAAACCTCGATCAGATGACCATAAATTTGTTGCACCGGGACAATCAGCAGTGATTATTTAACAAAAGCTTTGCCATTCCAGTTTCCGTGATCGGGAAGCCAGTGAGTGGCTCCCAACCCACCCATTGCCTCTCTTTTGAAAGGGAGGGCTTCAACTTACGGCAACAGAGGCTCACTTTTTGGTCAGAATTAACGCCGGAGCCAACTTTAAACATAAACCTTTTTAGGCACGTGAAAGACCTGTCCTCAGAGGAGTCCACCCTCTGCTTCTCTGCATGAGTCTGGAAGAAGCAGCACTTCATGCAGGGACACAAAGGCACAAAGTGACTCTGTGGTCTCTGCATTGGGAGTGACTCAACAGTCAGCCCGATGATCAGTACAGAAAGGACAGCCAGCACTACTCATCCCATGACAAGAAGAAGAGATTGGATTTATACCCCGCCCTTCACTACCCAAAGGAGTCCCAAAGCGGCTTACAAACTCCTTTCCCTTCCCCTCCCTACAACAGACACCCTGGGAGGTAGGTATGGCTGAGAGAGTTCTGACACAAACTGCTCTTTTTCAAGGACAGCTCTGACAGAACCATGGCTTGCCCAAGGTCATCCAGCAGCTGCAAGTGGAGGAGTGGGGAATCAAACCCGCCGCTCCCAGATTAGAGCTTGCACACTTAACCACTACACCAAACTGGCTCTCAGGTTACCTGCTGCAAATTGTGGGTTTGCTATTTGCAAGGAGCCTTTAATTGTTTTCAATTCATTAATAAGCCTTTTATATTGGAGTTAAGCATGTTTTCTGGAATGAATAGCTTCAGGTTTCAGTAAACTGCTGAGCGCAGCACTGGGACCACAAACATTCCTGCGCCAAGTTCAGGTCCTGGCCAAACTTCAGGCTGACTCAAGCCGAGAGACGGATTCCTGAGTTTTGAGGTCTGCAACGGAAACTGTTACCCAGCCCAAAGGACGCAGGCCGAAGCACGCAGCCCTGCCAATCTGACGCAGAGTTTACTTTACTGACTGCTTAATGTATCTGAAAGAGGTTTACAAGACCGAGTTCCAACGGCAGCCCTCCAGACAGCTCTTAATTTGGAAACAGCAAGAGGCTGTGGGCCTCAAGCATTCCCGGGAGCCGTACAGGCAGCACTCGAAGGTGAAAGTCACTCTGCACATGCTCAGAGGCTAAGGCATTCCTCCCTTCTCTAAGAATCCTCAGCCTTCCTAGACGTTCCCATTCAAGAGGCCGCCTCTGAAACACTGCTCGGCTGCAAAACGCCACACTTTTTGCATGACTCTGAACTCAGACCTGGGGTGCGTGTGTGTGTGGGACCATCCAGAACCCTCTGCAGCTGCAACAGCCACAGGTGTCTGGATGAAAACGCTGACAAAAGTGCAGGCCTGGCCAGTCCAACCAAGGACCTATCCTGTTTCCAACAACCTGCTGGCCAGAGGCTCCCTGGAGGCCCACAAACTGGGCAGCAGCCCCCCAAGTCAGGCCACCAGCCCCTCCGTAAGAGGAGGAGATTGTATTTATACCCCGCCCGTCACTCAGAGTCTCAGAGCAATTTACAGACTCCTTTCCCTTCCCCTCCCCACAACAGACACCCTGGGAGGGAGGTGGGGCTGAGAGAGCTCTTGACAGAAACTGCTCTTTCAAGGACAGCTCTTGTTAGAACTACGGCTTGCCCAAGGTCATCCAGCAGGTGCAAGGGGAGGAGGAGTGGGGGAATCAAACCCGGTTCTCCCAGATTAGAGTCCACTCACTTAACCACTACACCAAACTGGCACTTAACCACTACACCAAACTGGGGGGGGAGGGGAGGAGGAGAAGCAGGAGATTGTATTTATACCCCATGGCCCTTCACTACCCAAAGGAGTCTCAGAGCGACTTACAAACTCCTCTCCCTTCCCCTCCCCACAACAGACACCCTGTGAGGTGGGTGGGGCTGAGAGAGCTCTTGACAGAAACGGCTCTTTTTCAAGAACAGCTCTTATCAGAACTACGGCTTGCCCAAGGTCATCCAGCAGCTGCAAGTGAAGGAGTAGGGAATCAAACCCGGTTCTCCCAGATTAGAGTCCGCGCACTTAACCACTACACCAAACTGGAACTGCAGCCAAATCTAACACCACAGAGTAACCACCCTCCAAAGCATCCATTTCCTCCAGGGGAACTAATCTCTGTAGTCAGGAGATCAGCGGTAAATCGGGGGGGGGGGTGTCTCCAGGCCTGGAGGTTGGCAACCCTACCGTTGAGATTATCCACCCACTCTCCCCC